GATATTTCATCCTCAAAATGATGGACAAACGGAGCGTATTAATCAAGTTTTAGAGCAATATTTAAGATGTACCATTAATTATCAACAAGATGATTGGACAATTCTTTTGCCATTGGTAGAGTTTGCTTACAATAACACGGTACATTCTTCTACAAAATAAACATCTTTCTTTGCCAATTATGGTTATCATCTACAACTTGATACTTTTGACTTTTCAAAAGTTGATAAGCATGCTACAAAAGATTTGATAATTCATTTGTCAGAGCTACATGCAATGATGAAGGCGCAGTTAAAAGAAGCTCAAGAACAACAAAAGATCAATATAGATGTCTATCGAAAGGAACAACCACCATTCGATATGGGTGATAAAGTATAGTTACTTCGTTGCAATATCAAGACTACTCCTCTTTGTGACAATTTGGACTATCAAAGGCTTGGACCATTTTCTATTTCTGCACAAATCAATCCAGTTGCATATTATTTATACCAACCAGAGTCAATGAAAATCCATCCAATATTCCACATATCTCTTCTTGAACCATACAAGACAGTGGACATATCAAAAAGAAGACAAGCTCCACCTCCTTCCATAGAAGTGGACAATAATGAAGAGTTTGAAGTGTAAGAAGTCTTAGATTCAAGGCGGCGCCAAAATAAATTGGAATATTTTGTCCATTGGCATGGATATGATATTAGTGAACACACATAGAAGCCAGTAAAGAATCTTGTAAATGCAGCAAAGGCGATGGAGGCTTTTCATCGACGACATCCATCAATAATAAGTTAAAAATCTTCCTTATAAAAGAAACAAGTTCTAAGCAAGATAACATTCTACTTTTAATTCTTGTTTGTAGCTTCTTTGTAGTCGTGACATTGAGGAGATAGAGAACCAACAACCAGCAGATTTGACTCAAGAGCCTTCATTTGTTGACCTATCGGATGAGACATTATGATTGTCACAACCTTTAAGACAATGTAATAGAGATGAAGATCTTCAAGAATGACATGTTCTTCTTCAAATAGATGGCGAGATATAACGCATTTGATATCACAACCTTTGAAGGGACTCCCAATATTTGGTGATTTTACTAGAGGTAGGAACAACTCCTGATGGTCTTTCAAATATTTTATTCGAAGGAAGTTATGAAAGCCTCAACAACGATCAAATAACTGGGTGGTCTTCCTGCCCTGGTATGGGACACTATTGATTGTTGAGAGGCCCTATCAATCATCTTTGAAGAGAACAAAGATCAGAGTATGCGGTGAATACAATTCATTGCATCATAGATTTCCTCAATATATGATGACCACTCCTCATGGAACTTGTCCCTAGAAGAGGGAGTAATGTCATGGACATACGCATGTTAGCTAGTAATTACATGTATAAATAAGTAGAAGTAAGTAAAAGTAGGTAAAAATAAGTTAATTCTATAATATTTGCTATAAAAGCTTCTTAGAAGCTCTATAGATGCCACTTTGACTTTATAGGTGTCTTTAACTGACTTTTTGGATTAAAAACGTGGTCAACAAATTGGCCATGTGCCACACATGTTGTTAGCTTGAAGACCAAGCTAATTTATTGGCCCACACATAGAAAAACTTGCCTTATAAGTCAAAGCATGTGTCCTACAAAGTCAACACATATTGGAGGTCCTATAGAACATTGCCACATAGCTCCTAGTTAGATAGTATATATAGAGACAAGAGTAAAGCCTTCTTCACTCTTGTCAACTCTTTTCTTGCTTCCAGTCTAGTTTCAAGGGTCTTTAGTTTTCTTGGAATTTGGCAATAGTCATTCCAATTTCTTTCTTAATATACATATTAAGTTATTTCTATTTTTTCATCTTTTTTTGAGAGAAGTCTCACTTGTTTATTTATTTTTATCATGTTCTTATCCTTGACACATACCTTTCTAAAAGAAATATAAAATTGAATTTGGCTTACAAATCACATACCTTGATATAAATAGTCATGTCAACTTTGTATAATGTTTGTTTTGTATTTACTTGAAGTAGATTAGCAACAATAATAAGACAGTACGCAAGTACATGTGCACAAAAAAAGTTATGATTTTGTTTCTTCTATTTCAAACTAATTCATATAGAAAGTATCACAAATGATAGTATTATGTTATTTGGAAGAAATACCAACTATTTTTATATGTTGAAAAGAAGTATTTTTTTAATAATAAGAAGAATTCTTTATTTCATGATAAGAAATAGTCATCTTTAGATTTATTTTTGCACTCACATTGTGATAAGATATACTTTGTCATTGATGCTTTGATAATCGACCTTTTTATCACTAACTTATTTTATTACTTCAAAGACGAGATTATAGATGGCCATCTAAAGCCTCGCTTGTTAGCCAATGCCTTGAAGTTGTTCAAACTTGATGACCTTGGTTCAAAGTATAATGTGACATTTAAAAAATCTACTTATTTTTAATTGGCAATAAATCTTACTTCATTTGGCTTGTTATTTTTTCAAACGACTAAAATCATTAAGAAAAATTAAAATATATAAAGAATACTAAGCTAATTGAATTAAATAATTATATAATTAGATAATTTATTTATATTATACTTATCATTAATCTTCAACTAATTTCTAATATTCTATCAAGTTTATAAATCTAGGAATTTTCTTTGGCTAATGATGGCACCTATGTTTGTATTTGCATTAATATTAAAAGCTCACTTCACAATATTCATTTAATTATTGTTTTATTTTTTAATTGCCACAGTGCAATTAATATTACAAATTTTATTTACAAGATTTTGGATATTTTGCTTAGTGCATGATGCAACAAATTATTTTCTATGAATTTGATTACAAGAACACAATGACTAAATGACATAACCGCATTATTACATTACTTAAAAATAATACAAAAAAATATATTTTACATATATGGTGTATTCCTTATTTAATAGACTTGATTATCAAATTGGTCACAAATGAATTATTAGATATTACATTCTATCATATGACACATGTCTTTTTTGTTCTCTTACATATTTAGCAAAAATCAATCATTGTAATGAATATAAAGTGCATAAAAGATACAACATATTGGGCATAATTTGGTACTATGATTAGGTGGATGTTAATGCATTGTTACATGTTGCTTGATTACATTACACAAAAGGTGCCAACATTGGCTCTCTTGACTTTAAAGTAGATTATTATTATAGCTATTGCTCCACTCTTTGATATGTATAATATCACAATTACAATCCTTCAATCAAAAGACTTAATATTGTCACAACAAAGTAAGGAGCTAGAAAATCTTGTTGCAAATGTATTTAGGATTGATATTCTTTATGAAATAAAAGATCACTCACACATCAACTTAGAACTAATTAAATTTTTTTTTAACAAAAACACATTTTTAACTCAATTATGATTCAATTGTTGAGCACATCCATAATAAAGGCTCATGATCTTGTAATCTCCTTGTTGCTTTGCCAACTCTTCATCAATCTATGGTATTGTTTGGTGTTATTCAATTTATAATATATATGTTTAATAGAATATTGTAGTTCACATCGAGTATAATAGCAATAAAAAGGATACTAACAAAGTCTTACTTGTAATGTCAAAATAATTTATGGTGCTTCAAACAAACTAATTCATTATTCATGTACTTAATCCACAATGTGCACATCTTATACATTTTTGGATATTAGATGATGTTGAGCAAGTCGAAGACCATTGTCATGGTTACATATTGTTGTACACATACACAGATAAACCTACCTTAATATGCACCATTAATGTATATAATTACATAGTGATATTCAATGATGTATGGAGTTGTTTGAAGGATCAATTCCATCATCTTTGTTGATTCTTTAGAGGGTTGGCATCTACCTTAACAAATACTATAAGATTTGAGTCCAATTCTTTTATCTTAAAATAAGAAAAGAATGATAATTGCCAATCTTTGAGCAATCTTTTATGAGAGGGGATCTTCCAAACCAAATAACACACCTACGTAGCTTTGATTTAAGGGAGATCTTAGGAATTGAAACAAGGGATTTGAAAAAGAGCATTAAGATTACAAATTACATGTTTTGAACAAAGTTCAAATTCAAAATTTTCTTCCATGGGTGTTGCTCCTTGATCTTAGCCACCAATTGGTCAATAAGACCAATACAAAGGGGCGTTGCACCCCCCCCCCTCCTCCCCCAACATCTGTCATCATTGCGTGTGTCTCGTCTATCTACAAATAAATGGGCAACACTCCACAATTAATCTCATTGCAGTATATGTACCATGTTCCACATATTAGGAGGCCAGCCCTATCCACAAACTGTCTTTCAAAAATTTACATGTAATAGAATATTTTTACCTCAATTAAATTTTATGAACCAAGAAAGAATTCTGAATTCAAAACCATTTTTAAAAAATAAAATTAGTGTTGATTGATGTTAGAGAACAAGGGACAGCCGTCACGGAGCGAGCAGCAACGCCAAATTGAACAAGAACAGCCCAGGGGCAGATTTCGACGAAAATCTTTGTTATTTTCCAGGCTGTCCCGAAAGTGATAAGATCCTCCGTCGCTTTTCCGCCACATGCATCCACGACTAGCATGACTCAGCAGAGGCTGCCGCTAGACGCTGCCACTAGACGCTGCGATCAACCACGGCTTGCCGCGCGGCGGCCGCTGAATGGCGGATCAGACTGCTCGCCATCCTGGCCACAACAGGACGATCAGATCGCTCTCTCAACTCCGCATCGAATTATCTATTCTTCGAATTCCGAGTCCTGCTAGATTCAATCGGACCCACAGCTTATCGTGATCCGATGCCCCACTCCCTCTGCCCCACTTTCCGAGCCTTGTGTTTTTTGTTTTTATTCCCGGTCAGATCCGTCGTGCCAGTAATCGGGAGCCAATCGACTCTCCCGATCGACGGCACCGATTCGTGATTCGTGCGTGGCTGCCGCTGCAATATTCCACACGGCATCTTCAAGCCCACATCTTCTTAAAGGTTGAATCGCAAGATCTCTCTGCACACCAATTGTGTCGACGTGAGGTGAGAAGCTTGTTTGCTCGGAGTTGGGGTAGGGGAATAGGATCGCAATTGATGCCACCGTAGTACTATTTGTACTACGTGTGTGTGGTTGCTGATTGATCTTCCCGTTTTCTCCCATCTCCGACAACGTTCTCGCTTCTTGTTCTCACCGATCGGTTGTCGACAATAATCTGTGTATTGTCTGTTGTTGCGATTTTTCTCTCGAAGAGCCTAGTGTGTGCTTCTGTCAATTGATTGATCAGTTGGTGGATTTGCGTCTCGTTTGAGTGTTGGGTATTGAGTGTTGAGCGATGACGGCTTGTCGGGTTATGGCCGCAGCACTTGGCGCTGCAGGTGTGCCTTCCATGCCCTTGCCATCCTTGGCGAAGCCGTCCCCGGCTTCTCATGTCGAGATTGGAGGTCGCCCCGGCGGCGCTATGATGCCTATGCACCTCGCCAATCCGCCTTGCTCTTTGGCGTTCGTTTATGGTACCCTAAAGCAGGGGTTCTCCAATCACTGGTTAATCAAGGATGCAGTTGGGGAGGGTCATGCCCAGTTCATCGGTGTTGCGAAGACGAAACAGCAGTATCCACTTGTCTGCGGTCCGTTTCAAGTCCCGTTCCTGCTTAATATCCCTTCGTCAGGACTTCAAGTGAAGGGTGAGCTGTATGCGGTAAGCAATTCTGGAATCGCTGCATCTCGTTTTTGTAATGCCGCAATTTGAGATACTTGATGCTAATTTCGTACGATTGCGGTTCGCTCTGCCGTCTGTCTCATAGAACTTGTTGGTGACTTTTCAGGTTGATCAAACTGCTCTGGAGTTGCTGGATGAGCTAGAAGGTGTGTCGAAGGGGCATTATGAACGCCGACCTCTTGTCTTGACGAATTTACAATCTCTAGAATATGATTGTAAACCGAATTCTGAAATTTTGGCGGAAGCATACTTTGCCCATCCATCACTGCAACGTGGTCTGTCTAGTGCGCCTCATATCGAGGCATACACAAAGAGGGAAACGGCTACCTACGTTTATAGAAAGGACCGGCCTAAGAATCGCACGTTCTTGGAGCACGTCAATAATTGGATTGACTCTCATGGGCCTCTGTCTTACATTCGCGTGTGAGCACAGTGTATCCGTAGCTTTGATTACGATCGAGACTCAATTTCGAACGTAGTTGATCCGATCCTATTTTGGTCAGTTCAGAGAAAATCCAACAGTGCATATCTCTAAGACTGCTGTTCTATATATATTAAGTTCTTACATTGCCAAACTTACAGCCCAAAGTGTGGAAGCAACAGATTCACTGCGCAACCTCCTGCTGTAGTTTCCGAAGGTAAAGACATTGCCTAATAACAGGTGAAACTAGGACGAGTCGTGTTGGTTCTGAGCCGGTCTGGTGAATCCTTTTCGAACTGGAGCTGCTCGTCTAAAGTTGGTCAAATTTGAAGGTCGAGCAGGAGATAATTCTCAATGGCATAAGTAGGACTGTTGAGATAGCAGGACAGAGAAGAGCATCCATCGGCATAGATTTTGACCAGAGTGAAGGGAACTGGGAGGTTGCAGTGTTCGCTACATTTGCTACTCGGAAGTTCAGAGAATGTACATCTTTTTGTATTATGCCGCATGATACTAACCTGTGACAAACAATGAGAGCCTGAAATCTTTCAAGAAATCATTTGCCACTGTGATGTGCAGTTAATTCAGGGCGTCGTTCCATTTTAATGTTTCTTCACTGCTGTAACTGGCAATATTGACTTTGCACCAAAATGTTAAATTCGAATTCGATGTAGGTTGGACACTTATCTACAGCGGAGGATTGGGTGGGAGCTCTGTAGGTTCTATCCCAGACCAATTCAGCCAAAAAAACAGCCCATTGTCCTGAATCTCTTGATGGTCTCATGATTTAACGACCGCAACCATAGAAGACCAGCCCTCCTTCCCGAGGTGCTGGTACCTGGAAGATCTGCACACCGCTATCTCAAGCCCTTATCTGTAATCATCCTCCTTTGCATTAAGGTGGTTAATCTCCAAAATGGCAATGTAGTCCATGTGTCGTGTATGTTTGGTATCTCAGACAAGTTAGTCGTGTTTCTTCCATTACTCGAAAACTCATGTGAGTTGAAATTATACCAATACCGTTATCTCCCAACCACATGCAGCATATTAGTGTGTGCATTCTATGGGCCGTAAGATCGAAGAATGTAATGTAGGGCATAAAATTATGGCACTACAATTGCCATTTAACGTCGTCTCGGTATAACTTACTGGTGAAATGTTTAGAAGATGGAATGAAGCGAGTAGTACTAGTATGCTTGCAGGCCCCAGGGATCTCACCACTCAATCTTTGAACTGTCGGCACCAACTTGCTGATCATACCCTAACTTCACTGCCCATTCAACTCCACTCTCCAGAAATACCGATTCAAAACTTAGGTTTAAATTGAACCCCATCTCTGTCAGATATTACAAGTTGCTGATTACGATTCACGTCAGAACCGTCATCGACACTGTTAGTATCGTCACCTCAATTGCTTGGAATCTTCAGGAAGGTGAGCCATATGTGAACTCTCCATTAAACAAAATTCACCCCAGAGATTCAACGACTACGTCAGTTGGGCATTATTGATCTCCTGAGGTTGAAAATGGAACTTTTTTTAGTTACACTTTATATTGTTCTTTGATAAGTTTTAAGTTAAAATGAAGGAATTATTAGAAGTTGAAGTAAGCATTTGGAATCTAAGGGCAATAAGTGATTCAATTTATTAGTGGTTGTATTTTGACCTATATCTCAAGCAATTTGATAAGATTTTGGCTCAATTTTTTAAAAAATGTGTATTATTATGCTATTATGCTATATACAAATTTTTGGTTTGTTTGAGATTTGGATTTTTGTAATATGAAGAAAATAGTACTTGGGTGCTTATAAATTGGAATTTAGAGTACTTGCTAGGATTTCTAAGATATCAAATGATTAGCAATAAATTCATGGTTCATTATTTTTGTAGTAAAGCTCAAGAATAAATGCTGAATTATTTAGAAATTTGAATAAAATTGATAAAATGGATCAAAAAATATGAAATTCTAAAGTTTAAAAAAAAATCTTTTGTAGAAAAAAAATATTTTGAAGGGATTTTGCTACAATTTGAGCATTTTATGCAAAGTAAAGGGATTTTTGGAAGCAAAGACTATATATTTTAAAGATAGATATATAAAGCTATGGTAAAATTTTGATATAAAAATGAGTTTTGAAGGAGATTATAGATTTTCTTTGAAATTATTAAAAATCTAACTTATCAGCAAATAATTAGTCATGATTTGATATAGCAAAAGATGTTAGGAAATTTCTAGATGCTCTAAAAAGCTTTATGTATAAAGCTTTTTAAATATAAAATATTTTATTAGTAGAATATCTTTAGATATTATTACATTTACTTATCTTTTATATTAAAAATAAATCACTAATTAGAGCTTGGCTAATAAATTAAAGCTAAACTTTCTATAGCTAAGTATCCAATATATTCTCAAATTGTAAACCACGCTATACAACACTGTGTATATGGATCACAAGAACCTTAAGTATTTCATGTCAATATGCATATTGAATTGTCACCAAGCTTATTTGAGTAGGTCATTATTAAGATTTGATTTTAAGATGAAATAGCAACCTAAAAAATAAAAAGATTTGTCAAACGCACTTTTTAGACATTCTTGTCTTGTACCAAAAAAAAAGACATGTAGCTCTTGATCAATAAAGAACGATTGCCTTGAAACTCAAGCAATTTCATCTTTAAGCAATAAAATCAACATTAACTATTGATTCAACTTTTTTCAAGCAAATTCAACTAAGTATATCCTTTGATTATCTTGTTCATAATATTAAGAATATTTTTTATAAGATTCATGATACTTTGAAGTTTGAATTTGAGAATAATCTATTCTATTTCAAAAGTTGCTTGTATATTCTAGAAGAAGAAGAAGCACATTTATGTATTCTTCAAGCTTGTCATGATTTTTTAATGATATGCTATTTTGGAACCAACAAGATTTTGGAGCTTATATCTAAAGATTTTTTGTAGTTGCAAATATAGAAGGCTGTGAAAGATTTTGTATAGTCATGTGATCTTTGTTCAAGGTCAAAAATCTTTGTTATCAACCTTATGGACTTCTCCAACTATTGTTTATATCAAAACAACTATTGTCTTCTATTTCTATCGATTTTAATATAAATCTTTAAGTTCGAATTTATAGGATTCTATATTTGTGATTGTAGATTATTTCATCAAAATGGCACATTTTGTACTATATATAAAATCTATTTTAAGTGAAGAAACTACTAAAATTTTTCTTGACAAAACCTATGACTATTATAGCTTATTAAATGATATTATATTACATAAAATAATACAATTTATATCAAGATTTTTGAAAATCCATTTTAAGATATTGAAAGTAGATATAAAATTGACTCTAGTCTTTTATCTTTAAGCTAATGGATAAATGAAAGGAGTGAATCAAACTCTAGAGTAGTATTTGAGGTATACCATTAATTGTTAAGAACTGTATACAAGATAAGGATTAAGACCAAGAAATAGAGTTAGCTCGACATTAGAATAATAACTAGATACAAGGTAAGAAGGTGTTGGCTAAACCACAAGAAGTGAGTTATTAAGACTCAGGATTCTCTCAACCTTGACTCCTATATATACTAGGTCCTACAAAACTTCTTTAGAAGTTTTTATGAGGCTTGGAAACAAAGCAAGCCTAAGATCCTTTTTTGACAACTTCTGAAATCATCTAAAGCCTCCTAAAACCTTCTAGAATTTCCTATGACCTTCTAAATCTTTCTTAGAATCTATTAGAACCTTTTGAAACCTTCTTAGAACCTATTGGAAGCTTCTAGAATCTTCTAGAATCAATAAGAACCTTCTTAAAACCTTCTAGAACCTTCTCAAACCTTCTTCAATTGTATGTCCATGACATCACTTCTTCCTTTAGCTTCGAGGTATCTGAGAAGCAAAGTTATTGCAAGTGAGTATCTGTGCAAGAAATTGAAGATGTATCACATGGTGTCCACTATATATTCTAATTTTTTTTTTACAAGGCAAATAGTTTATAGGCCCCTGTAGCCTTCGATAGTACCCCAAGCCTTCTACTTATGACCAAGTATGAACTTCGGTATCTTTATTATGGAATTGTCTTGCAAACACTCCTTTTGGATGTCCTTCATAGGTAAGTTCTACCTCAAACACAATTACTAGCAACCTATTATTGGATATCTTTCGATGTCTTCGTGGTTCAGGCAGCTCTTCATCTCGAGATCGTCTCCACAAGCTACTTGGTTGAGATGGTATGATTGGCAAGGTATCTATCTCTTGACTATCTATGTCACATAAAGTATACAAGATCAAAAGAATATAAATAGACTATGATTTTGAACTTGAACTAGTCACTTATTTTGTTCTAAATATTTGAAAAACTGTCTCTTCAGAGGTTGTCTCCTCTTCTTCTTTATAAGACCAAGAATTAAGAATCTTTATGGTGAAGCCATCTTACTAAGCTACTGTTCTTCATTTTGCCACTTTTGATTTAGATGGATGTCATTGATAGTACTTTTGAACCTTCATTTGTGTATTTATAAGGTTGTCAGCTGGTTTCCACATACGATCATTGATATCATGTCTATACCAATAGATCAGATATTCAAGCCTTCCATCTCTTATCCTTGAATGTAATACCTCTTCTACCTCAAATTCAACATGATTATTGATTACAACTATAAGAGGTGGTGGTTGTCTTAGACTTGATATGTTCAATTCTTTATACCTTTTCAAAGGTGAAATATAAAAGATTAGATGAAGCTTCATGGATGAAGGTAACTCCAAGCGATAAGTTAAGTTATTAATTTATTTTTGAATTACAAATAGTCCCAACCTTCAGTAGTCCAACTTATCATATAGCTTGTTGATTTTTGTATTTAGTTGAAGAAGCCACACTTTGTTATCATCTTAGAATGGAGGATGTTCCTTTCTTAATTCATCTGCCAATAGCTTATAATGTTGTTGAGGCCTTTCTAGGTAAGTCTTCATAGTTGCTTGAAGTTTGGCCATTTTCGTAGCAAACTTTTTTTCTATTGGATTTGACGACTTTGAAGGCTCTAACATATTCAACTTTGGATGATGACTATAGTTTGAATAGAATGGCATTTATTGCATAGATACATGGATTGTGTTATTATATGCAAACTCCACCAATAATAAGTAGGAAGTCCAATCGTCTTGTTAATAATTGATGGTATATCTCAAATATTGCTCAAGAATTTAGTTGATCCACTCCATTTGGTTATCAGTTTGAGGATAGAAGGCAAAAAAAAGGTTGATGTCAACCTTAAGAATCTTAAAGTGTACCTTCTAAAACCTTGATACAAATTGTGGCCCACGATCTTATACAATATTGTCTGACAATCCGTGGTAATAATAGACATTATCAATAAAGAGGCTTACCTTCTCTTCACCAGTAATTAACTTCTTACAACGTATAAAATATGCCATCTTGGTCAATTGATCAATAACTACAAAGATAGTGTCAAATAAGCTTGATGGTGGAAGATCTGTAATGAAATCTATGGAGATAGATGACCATTGTTGTCTTAGAATAAAAAGGGGTTGAAGAAGTCTATATGGCCTTGAACAAGTATTAGATGATAGTACAAATTCCTTAACATAT